TCCTGTTTAGCCCCTTGAGGTACGGGAAGGTGCTATAAGGTCTCCCCGGAGCCTTCCCTTCTCCAAGCTGAACAAGCCCAGCTCTCTCAGCCTGTCCCCATAGCAGAGGTGCTCCAGCCCTCTGAGCATCTTTGTGGCCTCCTCTGAACTCGCTCCAACCAGTCAATATCCTTCTGATGTTGAGGGCTCCACAGCTGGACGCAGCACTCCAGGTGGGGTCTCACGAGAGCAGAGTACAGGGGGAGAATCCCCTCCCTCGACCTGCTGGCCACACTTCTGATACAGCCCAGGATACGGTATCTCTTCAGATATCCTGCTGATCACAACAACATAAAAGTCCAGGTAGGAGTATATTCATAACATATCCTAGGCGTCGCATTCTTAATAATCCATACAGAGAGGAGTAACTTTGCAATATACACATGTCCACCGACAGAGATATGTATTTTTTCTAATTGATCTCTTTCTACCTAATGAAAACTTCTAGGCTGCAGACAAGGATTTCTTAGGGATCCTCTGCATTATAGTTTAATCATTATTCCGGCTTATCAAAAAAAGTCACAATGACCTTTTGTTGCTGCATTTTGTACCTCTGTTGGCTAAATGAATGTCTGCTTGGAACACGCTATGAGATCAGAGTATTTGAGGAAAAATAACCTTTGTGTGTGGGATAATAAAGGGCTACATTTGCAATAAAGCGAACAATTTGAATCCTTCTGGGAATTGATGACTCGGTGGCGACTCTGAGGCAAAGGCAGTCCCCTCCGTAGATGCAGGGCGGTGTTTTGAAAGCCACTTCATGTCTTCAAAGTTATCCCGATGCCCTCGGACCCGAGTGTGAATGACTTCCCAGAAGCATTTGTGTCATTTGAGGAAAAGTTCAAGCGATAAAGACGCTTGCAGACATCGTCTTGCTCTTGTCAGAGCGACACTGCCCTACCAGGGGGCGTGACATCGGCCCTGCTGCGCGTCAGGTGACGCGTGTAGGCCCCTTGAGAAAGGCCTTTGCCTTCTGGAAGTTCACAAATGACCCCAAGTTGCTCACTGTTCTCATGGCAGGCACCCAGCTCCTGCAGCTCGGTGGCTGGGCTGGCTGCAGGATGGAAAACGTGATCACTTGCTGAGAGCTTGTGGAAAAGCACTGAGTCCAGAAAGAACGGGGCGTACTGCTCAGAGCTAGGCAACTAAAATAAAAACATCTCAAAAATGCAGGAATAACACCACAGAGTTTTTATATTGATTCCCATTTTATTGTGATTTTATCTCAAACGTGTCTCAAAAACATCAGAGATCCTGCTGCTTTTTCAGGTGCAAAGCTCTGCACGCAGCAGTGTGATGGCACCGGACTCGTCCTTTGCTGAGGGCGGTTGGTGTAGCCCTCGCGGTTTTGGAGGTAAGTTTGAAAACAAACCATGTATCAGACTAATGAAGAGAGCTCTAAAATCGTTGCTTTTTAAGCCTCTCTTGCCCTCCTTAACCAGGCTGACATAGTGAGGAAAGAGGCTTAAAGGATAGTTTTTAAGAATATCTTGAGTATGTGCTCGGAATGATTTACTGTTTTTTAAAGTCTGTGGCAGGCGTTTAGGCCTGTTCCTCCCTCACAAACTGCTGCGTGCTTGGTTTTTTCCTGTTGATTTTTCTTGGCTGGAGCATTGTCCCTCGGGCGGATGGTGACTCCTCTTTCCATGTCCTGGACACTCATTCTTTGCTGCGTGCTGTCAGACGTCTGCTCTTCTGGAGGGGTTACTTAGTTCCAGTTCACCTTTGCGTGGTGAGCGGTCTGTTTTTAATAAGCGATGTAGCGCAGGGGAATAATCGCTGCTGCTCTTCTCCCAGCGTCCCAGCTGGCTCTTTTGAACAAAAATGGCTGATTATTCGAATTTAGCCTCAGTGTGGGCCGGGCTGCAGTGTGTAATTGCTCACCACACTTTCTCCTGCAGGGGGGAGATTCCAGAAGTCTTGGAAGTAAATGGCAGACTGGGTGCTGAGCTTCCTCCAGGGCAGGTAATGGGTTTGGCGTTGCTCTCTGTTGCATCAAGAGTCGCTTTTTGACACCATTATTTTTCTGCCAGCTTGACCTGAACCCCAGTGTCAGGCAGGGGTGGGAACTGCTAACCTCAGGAAACTCATGGGAAAATAAATCCCAGCGAGCACTTCCAAGTGTCTTGCTGAAATGTGTACAGAACGACTGGCTGTTTATTACTCTCTGTCGTGGGCTGTCATCTTTCTGACCTGCTTTTTTGGGGTGGCCATCACATTTATGTTTGGACTGGAGCTCTCCCATCAATAGGGAATTAATCTTCAGTTGTTAGGGGGTGACTTGTCACGAG